TATATTACACTACCACATATTAAGAGTTTTTTATTTACATAAAAACAATAGAAATTTAAATTCACGTAAATACAAATGTTCAAAACATTTACACAACTCTTTTTTTTTATATGATCGTCTTTTTCAGCGTTTGTTTTTTTTTTTATAACTTTATGGCTTTAGCTATTTTTTTTATTATTTTACAAATATTTAACAACAAAAATTGTACTATATATAAATTAACAACCAAAGTCTTATTTAACAAAATTTTATTTAACTAAAATTTTTTTGTAATAAAATAACAACAAAAAGGAGAGAAAAATTAGACAACCTAAAAAGCTGCTGCATCTGGTTTATTACCATTAATAACAAATAAATTTGCCTAATTATATTTTTTATTATATAAATTTATAATAATTTGTACATTTATTGATATGAAAATAACTAGTAGATTAATATTTTATAAAGTTTTAGAGAAAATTAAGAAATAATAAAAAAGCTTATTTAATACTGAGATTTTAGAGAGTTGTAGTTAATTTACAGAGACTGAAAAATATGTATGTTGGTACACTGTAAAAAACTCAGCTGTTGTTTGAAATTTTGATGTTGATTTGTTTTGTAAATGTTTAAGTGTTTAGTTGTAGTAGTAGTAGTAGTAGTTGTAACGGTAGATTTATATTTGAGATATACACATACATACACACATCAAGAGAGTAAGTTTCAAAGAGAAAGAGAGAGAGAGAAGGAGAAAGAAAGAAAATAATAGATTAAAATAGTTTAGCTTCTGTAAAACAGCGATTTAAAAAGACAGCAAATATTTATATTTTTATTTAAATTTATGTACATACATGTAAATACATACAATGACATTTTTTTTAACTAAATAAGTAAAATTAAAATCTTAAAGAAAAATTCTCTTAAAATAATTTTAAAACAGAAAAATAAAAATAAAACTATTAACATGCTTTTTATATACAAAAATGTATGATTTTGTAAAATTCTTTAAATGTTGTAAATTTCTATTACAAACTAAAAACTTGGTTTTGCATTTAAAATCCTTAGACAATGAAAAATTTTTACAAAACTAAAAATTTTGCTAAATATTTTTTTTTGATCTAATTTTTCAATTATCATAAAGATCAAAATACAAAAGTTCGTAAAGAAACAAATTGACATGGTATATAACTTTTTTTTTACTAAATTTGCTCTATGAGAAAGAAAACCTTAATTTCTTTAAGCCAAAACTCAATTTTATACATTGTCAATTTATTTATTACTTTTAGCTTTAGTTCTTTTTAAGGGCAATTTGTTCATTTAATTTATTTCTTTAAGTGCAATTTACTCGCATGCTGTTTACTATTTATTTTTTATTTATTTTAACTAAAGTGCAATTGTTTATTGTTGTTGTTGTTTAGCTATGTTCAACTTTTTAAAACTATCACAGCTTTTTGCACAAAATTGTATCTATTTCATTTTGAAAAAAATGCTACTCCTTACTTAAAATCTCTCTGAAATTAGTTCTATGGATGTTTTTGTTTTTATAATTATTTTCTTTTTATGTAACTATTTTCTTATCACAAATCTGCTTTAGCTATTTGTAAATATTTCCCAATAATTGAGTTATATTCATTTGTTTTTTTTTTTATGTTGCGATTGAATTTTTATTTACAAATGTTGAAAGATTGTGTTAATAACTAACAAAAGTTTATGATTTTTGTTTTGTTGGCGAAATTGTAAGTTTAAAACAATGTATTTCTTACAGTGTACTATCGAATAAAGTTAGAGAGAAAATATGTTTTAGTGTGTTGTAAAGGAAAATGAAATATTGCTGAAGAAAATAGTTTTGTTGTTTATAGAGAAAAAACAAGAGATAACTTTTTGTATAGAAAGCAGCATTAGAAGTTTGTATTGTTAGCCATATATTTGTATAATATATATTTTAGATATAATTAGTAAAATTAAAATTATTTTTTGAATTTCATTTTGAAGATTAGATTGCAGAAAAACTTTTTATTTTCATAATTTTTGATTGATTAAACTTTGAAGCTGTCCTGCGATAGGTTAGTGTTTTAGTCTGTTAGAACGGAGGTGGTGGATTCGATTCCCACCGGAGGCTCTTGTAAAGGAGCGCACATTAGGCCCGATAGAGGCCTAGGTGTATTTCTTCGAATTATACGACCTCCTTTCAAATTAATTAACTAACTGAACTTTCATTTGCTCATTTACTTGTATGGAAAGCTTTTAAATATTTCACCTAATATCAATTTGTAATGTATTTGAAAAAAAAAACCTGATATAAATTCAGGATTAAGTAGCAGTGACAATACATTAATTCTTATTTAAAATTTGTCACCTAGTATATACACATATGATATATACACGATTGTTACGATCAATTAGTGATATTGTGGTGATGATTATTTTGGAAAACCATTATTCTGGACAAATCTGTAATTCGATTTAAAAGTCAAAACATATAGATCAGTTGTCAGGTAAACTGAGTCCTCTTTTAGTCCTTTTGACTGTGTACTTTAGTTCCAAATATAAAATTCGGTAATTTCATAGAAGTTGCAAATAGTGGTCGTCTCTGCCGCTAGACTTATACTTAAAGTTATAGAAATGCATTCTGGAAAAATTTAGCGCGATAAGACCACCTTAACTGGTGGCACCTGTTAATTCTGAAGGGGAAAAAGGTTTTTACAACAATTTCTGCACTAAATTTATCTTTTTTGATTTTAATAGTAAATAATTGGAATATATATTCAATTATTGTTCCAATATAATATAAAATGCAAAAATCGGTCAAAAATTTTAAAAGTTACAAATTCCCCTGATCATTTAGTGTCACAAAACGCTTTAATGAGAAATAATTAAAAATTATTATCAAATTTTGAAATTTTTTTAATAAAACCATATCATTATATTAAATATATATTCCTATTTACTTAAATGTGTGTTTTATCCTCGTTGGATAGCGTAAATCGTATTTGGGGTATCCAATTTAGAAACTGCCCTTCAGACGGCAGTTTCAAAAATCCAGTTTTAAACTTTTACCAATTTTGTTAAGTAAATTTTAAAATTTTAAGAAAATCTCCATGTGACTTATGGACAATAAAGAAGGGAATAAAATAGTAAAGAAATTAGATCGATATCTCTCACATATTAGCGGTAAGTGCGATTAGAATTTTGAGGATTTCGGAGAAAATTATTTTTTGTTAACATTTTTGATAAACTGGCTTTATTCTTTACTGATATGCATTTTATATAAAACTTTTAAAGAATATATAATTTAAAATAATAGGAAATATGCGTTTGAAGTTTCCGTAAATTCGAATAATGTTAACCCACAAACTGGGAAGGTCAAACTTAAGCTATGCAATATTGGGAAATCTTCTTGAAACAATAGTGAAATTTTATTTTGCTTTCAACCGGTTTAAATGAAACTTAGGATAAGTATATAATGAAGAGCCATATTTATGATGACATCGAGAAAATTCAAGTTAACCCTTAAACGTAAATATATTTTAATAATTACAAAAAAATTTTCGTAATATATAAACAAAGTATTTAATGGCATTTTGCGAGAAAAAAACAGATATCAGATTCGGTTTCAGCAGCTAAAAATACATTAAAAATAGTCCAATTGGTTTTAAAAGTTTTCACAAACCTTCATTTCGTTGGCCTGTGTAATTTATGTAGTCTTTTGACAGATCCTATTGAAGTTTTGATGAAGTTTATTCTGAAACAACTTAGTTATCAATCAAAATTTTTTTTCTTTTTAAAGTTTATTTTATTCACAATCTCTAGAAAATTAAAAGAATGCTAAGAATAGAAGCTTATGTATATTATTTAATAAATTAAATAATATATAATTACTTATATGTTTTGCAGAGTTATACAACAGTGTAAATGGAGATATAGAGCATTTATCCAATATTAAATAAAAAATTAAAATTTTATATCAATTCATATTTGATAATTTGATATGTAATGATATTAAATAAAAAAATTAAAGAAAAAAAACTATAATTCATAATATGTTTTTTTTTTTTTTTTTTTAATATAATTATAAAGCATTTCTTTAACGAATAGCATTTATGTATATTATAGTTAATTTAAAAATTAAATCGGATTTACTTACATTTTTATTAAAATCATCAATACCAAAGATTAAGTTTGTTAACAAAATTTCATATCTCAGAGTACAAAATCAAAAGAAGAGAGAGAGAGAAAAGAGTTATATAATTTAATAAAAGTTTAATAGTTTAGTAAGAAAAATTAATAACAAAATAAAAACCATAACTATTTTAGAGTAATTAACAGATTAGCAGCTGTTTTCAGGAAAGTAAACAAACAAATTTTTTTAATTTAACTTAACTAGGTTTTTTGTTAAATATTTTGTTTTTCATAATACAATTCATCGAAATTTTTAATGTTGTTTTTTTTTTCAAATTTTTGTTAACAGCCTAAGTAATGCTTTGTTATTTTTTACTAAAAATGTTTGTCTGTTTTAATAAATTTATTTTATTAAGGGTTTTGGTTTTCTTCTAAAATTTACTTTAACGTTGTTTTTGTTAAGATTTTCTTAATATTTTGTTTGTTATATTTAATTTAAATTATTTTTGTTTAAATGATTTTCATAAATTTCATCTAAATTTTGTTTTAAAGGCTTTATTTATTAAATTATTTTATTTTTTTGTTTAATTTTATTACTTTACTTAAACGCAGTGCTTCTGTTTAACTTCATATTTTTCAAAAAATAACGGACAATTTATTTAACTTTGGTTTACAAAATATATATCGGTTAAAGAGCTTTAGTTTATTAAAAAGAGAGAGAGAGAAAGAGCACATATTTAAGCAGCAGCTGTTGTTGTTATGTTCTGTTTATTAGAGATTTCTTCTAGGTATTAGTGTATTAAGTTAAAAGTACCGTTTTTATTTTACTAATAAGCAGGTGAGTTTGAGACAGATTTGCTTTTATTAGGAGAGCCAATAAAAATAACGGTTTTGTCAAAGTTGTATATATGTATGTAAATAAATAAATTGGTAAGAGATCTTTGGTTAATTTAGCTATGGTAGAGTAACATAATTGTTTCCGGTTGTTTGTTTCTTTGTTTTTGTTTTTTTTTTTTTTTGTATATAATAATTAGTTAAAGTTGTATTTAGTTGTAGTAATAGTGGTGGTGATGGTGGTAGTAGTTGTTGTTTTTTGTAAGATGCATAAGGTTAGCCAGCTTTTTGGTTTCGTTTACTTTTGTTTATAAGAGGTTAAGTTAAGTTTTTCTTTTAAAGATTTGTTACTATTTAAACTTTTGTTCAGTTATTATAATTATTTTATTTTAGTTGTTGTTTTGTTTTTGGGGGGGGGTTAAATATCCAGTTGTTATTTATTATTTAAGATAAAAGTTGAAATTTTTATATGTATGTATATATTTTGGTTACCCAATAATAAGTATTGTTGTTGTAGTAGTAGTGCTGTTGTTGTTAATGGATTTTACTTTATTTGTTCTCAGTATATACTTGGTTATATACATATGCTATACATGTATGTCTATATATATATATAGAGATTTCTTTTGTATATATATAATATTTTGTTAATGTTTTGTATAGACTATTGTATATGTATATATATTTGTTTTTGTCGGTTTATGTAAAGTGTTTTATTTATTTATTATATATATGTAGCCTTATTTGGTTTTCATGCAATTCAGCAGTTTTACTTCCATATTATTATATATATATATATATATATGTATATCTCTCTTTGTGTATATATATATAATCCGCCATTTAATTAATTTATTTTAAATTTATTAATCATTCTTTGTTATAGATATTATTGTAATTATTTATTTTGTTATTACTTTTATTATGAAATATTATCTTTTGTTATGTTAATTTGTTTCTTCTCTTTATTATTATTATTTTGTTATTAATATATAAATTATATATATATATGTTTTATTTTAATTATTTTCTTTATATTATATATATTATGTTGACATATCACTGCATGACGCATTTTCCCTCTATTTGGGTTTTTAGCTCATTTACTTGCGTTTCTATTTGATTTTTCAGTTCTGTAAAAAGAAATTGAGTAATGGAAACAGCAATAAATAAGCACATCTTATGATAGTTGTAGTATGTTTAGAATATAATACAAACAATAATAAGAATAGTACTATAATGTATAATGATAATTGTTAATTTTTTTTTTAAATTTGCAATATACACACAAACACAATAATATTATGTTGTGGTTATCATTACAGTATTTTTTATTTTATTTTTAAATAAAATATCTTTTATTAGGTTTATTAATATTATTAATAATAATGCATATTATTTGTTTAATATTAATAGAAATTTTGTATTAGAATTCATTTTATTTAGCATACTTTGCGGAGGTACAATTGACCTTTTCTAACAAAAATATATAAATCAACATTTACTAACAACAAAGTAAAAGGCGAGTGATGGGTAAGTGGAGTTAGTTATGAATATGGTGACATTGTGAGAATTTTTTTAATTTTATTATTATTTTTAGTTAAGTTTATATTTTTTTAAATTAAATCCATTTGTGTAAGAATGTTAAAGTTGTGTTAAAGTTGTATTGAATCGGTTGAATAGAGCAAAGTTAGTTTTGCATACTTTTTTTAGGCAGTAATTTTTAGAAAGAATTCCTTATTGGAAGAACAGATAACCATGTGTCAAATCTCATTAAATTATTATGAAAATTGTAACTTTTAAGGTTATTATTGTTCCTTAGAATATAAGATATATCTGGATGGACAGACTGACGGGCATGGTTATGTCAACTGGGAAACTATTGCTAAGTTGATTGGAGTTTTTATTTATATGCATATACTCTTAATATTTACAAATATAAGCACAAATGCGAAACGTCCTTAATATTATGCATTTTAGTGAAAGTTGTAGTACACCCATGCGTATGATTTATTTTCTTCATGTTAAACATTACGTATTCGTATAGGGCTGTTTGTAAATTTTCAATCTGCTGTCTAAAAAGTTTTATTTTTTAAAACGTTTTAAAAAATTTACAAAATTTCAACAAAAAATTATGCATATACTTATAAACTTGTCACAAATGGAATTAATTAATTGTATTCTATATTTTTAATTGCAATTATTATTTATTTACGAAATTAAGTAAAAATAGTTTTAAAAATATATATAAAAACTACATTTAAATGAGTATGAATTTGTTCTTGAAAAAATGTGTAAATATATGTATATGTATTAGTCATCATTTATAAATATTTACATATTAAAATTTTATAAAAAAAAATGTTTGTGATATTAATTGATAAAAAAGAAAATGATTTTGCTTAATAGCAATAGGGAGAGAGAGAGAAAAAATACATGTTAGTTTAGCCTTTAAAAATAATTGTTGTAAATGTTTGTTTATTTCTTGTTTGGCAAAATATTTAAATAAAACAAATTTTTTAGCCAATAGTGAACAGTAAGAGGGAAAAAGCTTGTCTGTGTATTTAATAAATAGATTTTTTTTGTTATAGTTTTTGGTTAGTTTCTAGCTGTAGTTGTTGACGTTTTTGTGTTTTATTATTAGTTAGTAAGTAATAGATGGTTGAGATTATGTTAGTATATGTATTTTTTGGAAAATTATAATGAAAAAAAGAAATAAATGCATTTGAAATAAATGTAATAAGAACTAAGAAAATTTTAAATAGTGCTTTGTTTTTGAGAAGTTTCAGTGTTTGACAATTTGTGCATAAGTTTTAATGCAAGCAGTGTTTGTGCCAAAATAAAAATTTGCTAAATTAAAGAAATTTTCTTTAGTTACATAAATAGAAAAAAATTACGGTGGGTTCTTTGAGAATTTTAAGAAAATTTATTTATTCTTCTTTTTTCAATATTATTTGCTTAACTGACGCTATTAAATCCTATTAAATGTTGTTTAATAATAAGAAAAATCTACATTACATTTCAATCAATCAAATTGGATTTTTTCTGCAAGAATCTACAATTATCTGATTTTAATATAAACACATTAAAGGAAAAACTATTTACTTAAGATGTTTTTGGAATATTTCTTGAAAAAATGATATGCAAAGGAATATAAGTTATACTCTATTTAAAACGGTAACTTTTAATTAAATGCTAATGGCTAAAGAGTAGTTTTTCAGACTCTTAACGTAAAAAAATTAAAATATAAAAAAGAAGAAAAAACAAAGAAAATCTCTTCAGTTTTAATTTGTGGCAGACAGCTACAAGTTTAAAATGAATCCTGCAGATTTTATATCTGCATGAATTATTTAATTTACAGCCTTAACTTGCTAGCAACTTGCATTGACTTGTCATCTTTAGTCTTTGGGTTTTACTTTTTATCTTTCACACTGCCAATTTGCATTAAGGACACTCATGTTAATTTTTAAAATAAAAAAATATATTCACAGTTTATTTTACGTTTTTTTACGTTTATGTTTTTAATTGAGATTTACCGGAATTTCATTGTATGTTACATAAGAAACTTTTAGTTGGCAAACACAATTTTCAATTAAGATAGTTAAGAGATTTTTTTAATAACCCAGCAAACATTATAGTTTTAAAGAAGAATAAAATAAATTAAAGATATATTTGTTACTGAAAAGTTTAACCTAGTGGAATTTTTGTGAATATTTCAGAAGATAAATTAATACTATATGAGAACTAAGTTAGTTCTTTGAATTAATACATTTTTATTATTTATTTAATTAAATTAAATTATATATAAAAAAATGCTTTCTTAGTTAAAGTAAATTGTAGAACATTTTATTTATATGATGAATTACATGAGCTTTTAAAGTGGTACATCTTAAGGTGTCCTTGTTGAGCTTTTGGGCTTTTGAACCTGAGTATGGTTGGTATAAATCATAAAATTCTACAGAATACCTATGTAATGAAAAAAAAAAAAAAAAAAAAAAAAAAATACAAAAGCAATGCAATTGTTAAAAATTTCTCTTGTTGCAGTTGAAAAAACAAGTAAGTGCAAAAACTGAAATTGTGTTACATTTTAAATCTCTTGAAACTCATTAAATTTACATTTTACCTGAAGCTGATATTCATTTATTTTACTTTTAACATTTTGTTTGGGTTTTGTGTGTATATTTTCATTTCGTATCATGATAAGTCTTAAGTTTGCACAGTGGGACAGATTATGTTACTTAATATAAGTATGTATTCAAGATTCTTAGATTCCATGAATAAGAACAGGGATTTGTTTGGGTTCGATATATCAAAGACAGGAAAAGAATCCGAAACGTTAAAAGACAGTACAGTAGATTGAGTGCAAATCGTTGTAAGATTTAAGTTGCATAATAAACTTAAATAAATTAAATGAGATTTTTATCTTGATAGCATACTAGTTGGGAAACCCAACAGATTAATTTTTCATACTTAAAAATAGTTGCAACTGCAACATTGTTTTAAATTATATATTCTTCTACTTATACTTTGAAACTACAGCGCTTGCCGGTTTAATATTTGCATATTTTAAACACATTGCCATAAATTTGCAGTTTTTTCATTATTTGGAAATGAAATAAATTCACATAACTATTATAACTTATCTGCCAGTAGTTTTTGGCAATAACGTATAAAAAACTTGGCACATATTAGTTTTAAACTAAAAGAGTTTATCTTGCAACAGACAAATTGTCTGTACGTTATTTTATTCATAGCTGTTCTATGTATGTACGTGTCTGTGTTGTTCTCAGAGACGGTAAGAATACTAGTTGTGTATAATTGACACAAATACATGTACGTATGTATGTATATAATCTTTTGTTTGTAGTTTAAATGAAATGTCTTTCATTTATTATTTACCTGCAGCACAGGAACAACAATAAAGACATATTTGTTAAATTTGTCGGTGACAATAAACATTTATATTGCATTTGCTCATATTTAAAAGATAACAAATTTTATATTTATATTTCAAAAAAAAAAAAAAAAGAAAGCAATCTCTTTTAACAAGCATTTCTTTTGCTGTTATTTAAATTTATACCGGCATTTTAAAAGTGTCAAGGTAATATTTTGATGTTATAAAATAATAAATAATATTTTTTATATTTTATTTTTTATGGTAAAAAATAAGTGTTTTAGATAAGTGTAACTTAAATTTATATTTATTTAAAAGATTTTTGCATAAATATTACAGGCATTTTATTAGATGTTATTGTTACTTTAACATAAAAGCATATCTCTAGATGTTGATATTTATGTGGGAAAATTAATGAAACATTTTCGTGTTTATTTAAAGTAACAAATAATATTGTGTGAAACTTAGCTGTTTGTCTAATATAAGACCATGAGACAGAAGCAATCAGAAAGGACTTTTCAACAGATGGACAGACATCTTGAAATGTACCGATAGCTATTTACCTTTTTCTTACTAGTAGTAGAGTGTGGAAAATAAATTTACTTTTAAGTAATACCATTTAAAATTTTATATAGTTTTTTCATTATGTCTGTTCAATAGCAAAAATAATTTTTACAAAAATATTTGAAATTTGTTTTAAAATACAAAAACAATTTGTGATAATTTGTAACAATTTTTTGTTAATAAACAGACACATTATTTAATTTTGACAAAAACTTGTAAAAGGCCAGTTAGGATTAAATTGTTTCGATGCAATCAATAAAAGTTTCCATACCAATGAAGTTAAAAATTTTGTCTCAGTTTTTTGGTTTATTTGAAATGTTTCTCAGAAGTTTTAATCAATACTTTCAACTCAGAAGCATATAGATCTCAGACTATGGCATGTGTATCAAATGAAAGATTTAAAAAAAATCTTTCTTTTGTTACACCGTCTGACAAAAAGGGAAAAAATTCGTTAGATACGAAGCGGAATACGTCTGAAAATATAAATTTAATGGAGAAAAATTGTGTTTTATGTTTCATGATCCCGTGTCAATTTTAAAGGACTTAAAAGTTTTAAAAAGTACTTTTTTCCAAAAATATTTTAAAATACTTCTACTGATCAAAAATATTAAATTTGATGTCAAGCGAACAAGAAGATTTCGGAAACATTTTGTATGATATTTTTATATATTGTCAGGATAAAAAGATGTCAAAAATAACTTTTAACATTTTTGTTCTTTAATATCTATTAGGATTTTCAATATTATTTTTTCAAAGACATTTTGTACACCTTTTGATCCTGATGGAATAAAATAAAAACAAGTAAGAAAGTGGTGTGTGGCCGACCATATGATACTCTACACCAGTTATGAATATTATCTTCAATATAATCTTGTTCCCAATACATTTGAGCAATTTATGAATGAAAAACTAAATTTCTGAGGGAGGACATTCAAGTCATATTTTGAAGGGAGCTAGGGTCAAATGAGGCCAGATCTTTATGAAATTTGCAGGTCATCAAGGCTTGTGTAAAACTTATTTGCGCCGATTTTCATCGAAATACAGTTATATTTAACATAATTATGAGCTCAAAGGCCATTGTCAGGGTGTTCTGTTGTATGAGGGCTAGGTGAAATAATGGGCCGATTTTAACAATTTTCAATAGGCTTCGTCCTTGGATCAAAAAATGAGTTTGAACCAAATTTGTACCTTGCGCACAAGATTTTCATGGCCAGCCAGCCACACGGACGGATATAGCTTAATCGACTCAGAAAAAGATTCTAAGCCGATTGGTATACTTTAAGGTGGCTATAGGACGAATATTTTTGTGTGTTACAAACATCAGCACAAACCCAATAAACCCACCTCAATAAATTGATGTAGGGTATAATAACATAAAATATTTTACAATTCTTCTTGTTCGTTTGACATCAAATTTGTCACTGTTTGATCAGTAGAAGTATTTTAAAATATTTTTTGAAAAATTTACTACTTAAAACTTTGAAGTTCATTAAAAAGGTCACAGGATCACGAAATGAAAAACTAAAAATGCAGTTTTTCTCCGGATGAAATTAATAGTTTCAGACGTATATCATCCTGTTAGTGTATCATTTTTTTTGGTTTTGAAATCAAAAAATAGATTTTTTTAACTTCATAAGTCATATGGACAGACAGACATTTGGTACGGAAGGTTTTACTACCAAAAACAGTTAGCGAACATGATTTATAATTGTCTATCACGTAATGAAAGGTAAAATTTTAGTCAAAAATAACTCATAACCCTAGTGAGCATTAAAATTTTTAAAACTGTGGCAAAATTTACTTGTAAAGTAATACAATTGGCATGAACCAAGCATGTTATAACATGGCAGCAGATTAAAAAAAATTACACAGAAATTACATTTGTGATACTGAACTATTTCCCTTTAAAAATATTAACAAAATAATGAGCATATAAGATGCTATTAATGACTGCTGATAAAAAGTACTTTTTTCAATAAAAGTAGCAATTCTCCTGAAATTGTATTTAAAATATATTTTTCTATAGAAATTTTTTACTTCATATTTATTAACCTTTCTTTTCAACATTCAAGAAATACACAATCAATCAACTTATATAACCTTTTAATACTCCATAATTTCATTCCTTTAGGAAAAATAAAAATTAGAAAACAAAATATACAAAAAAAAAGCAAAATCCTTTAATAAAAAAACTGATAACATATTTAAGTACAACTAAACACTAAAACAAATAATAAAGATGATAAACAAAAAAAGTATAAAATAAAAATTATTACAACTAAATAATAAAAAATCGGAAATAAATATAAACAAAACGGTGCTTAAACAACAAACGTGCACTTTTATGAGATGTAAAATGTAAGATAATATTTAGACAAACATTAAAGTATGAAATTGGTGTGATGAAACATTTATTTGTTTATAGTTTTGTTTTTATTATTATAGTTTTAGCATTAGATTTAAGATTTTTATAGCAGGTGTAATTTTATTACTGAAGTGTATAACGTAGGTTTGTTGTAGAAAAAGTAGTAGTAGTAGTAGTGGAAAAAGTAGCAATAGAGTAGAGTTTAAAGTTAAAAGGGGAAGTTTAAAATATTCTCCATCCATTAGCACTACAAATACCAGTATAGTATGTTTTAGCAGATGGTGTATTAAATGTAGCCTTAAATGAAGATTTTTATTTGATAGAATCTTAGATTTTTTTATTAAAGTTTAGAAGTAAATATTTTTTTTTTAATTTAGATAATTTTCAGCTGACTGGTTTACTGTTGGCGGAAGTTATTAATAACTTGAAATTGTAATTATAATTTTATAGCAATTACAAATAAATGTTATTATTATTTGGAAGACATAACCAAATTGTTGGAAACCATCGACTAAATAAGTTCAAATAACAGGAAGTAGGGGGGTTACTTCATAACTTGATTTTAAAACAAAATTTTTAGAATTTACATGTTTAATAAATACTTTTAAAATAAATTCTAAAAAGTCTATCTTCTTTTCAGAAGAATTTTTGTTTCACTGGTGGCGTATGAGTTTATATTATTATATTTCAAGAAAAATATTAATCATACTTCTAGTAGTACATTTAAAAGCACATTTCAAATAGATTTAACAAATTTAAACTATTTTAAAAATCTAAGAATTTGCAAATAACTTATTTAAGGCTACATAAGATGCTTTATAGTTTTCTGCTGTTACATAGATGATAACTAGACTTAATTACTTTTTCTCAAACAGATGCTATTAAATTTGGTATTTCCCATTATCTTTAGCAGCAATTACATTTTAAATTAGTTTATTTATAAAAGATATTTGTTTTATATTTAATAATATTAATACTAATGGAAAAACATTGTAAGTTTTTAATGTTCATCTTCCAAAAAGGAAAACATACAACTAAAAACGTATAAAAACATTTTGAAAACCTACAACGTTTTATTTTTAGTATTAATTTTTAAAACGTTGACATATTCTTATATTATTTGTATTATATTAAATTGTTTAGAAAAAAAAATTAGTTAAACGTAGTTGTAGTTAGTGGAGTGATAGTAGCAAAGATAGTAGTAGTAGAAATAATAGTAGTTATAGATGTAAAATTAGTAAGATAGGAGTAGTAGTAGTAGTTTTAATAGATTTTGTAGTTTTTTTTTTTTTAATTGTTAAGAAATATAGCTGGTGTTGTAGTTATTAGCCTTTGTTGAAAAATGGTGTTGTAAATAAATTCATTTGTATTTTATTTTTGTTATTATTTATACACACACTCACATTCAGCTTTATTTATTTTTATATAAACTAGACATCAAAACTACTTTTCATTTAAATTATACTAAATATATGGAAAGATAAAACATTCTGCTGTTTAGAGTTTGATTTTCGTTTTTTTTTTAAATAAATAGTATACATATATAGTATTAAAAAATGTTTAAAAAAATATGTGAAAAAATATTTAGAAAAAAAATTTACGTAGTTTTAGACTTAGAAAAAAGTTAGTTTGTTGTTTTCATTTAGAGACAAAGAAAATTTTGTTAAAGTTTTAAAAAGTTAGTTGTAGTTAGTATAAAGAAAAGAAGTTTATTTTGTGATTTGTTGTGTTCTGCAAAGATAAATACGAAAAACAATAGATATGTAGAAAATTTAGTACTTACTTGTAAAATCATCCAGCTCTTCCTGTTCAGCTTCGGCAGCCAATTCTTCAGGTGTTTTCTTTTTTCTCATCAAAGGATTTGGTTCCTCTTGCGGCTGCATTTCTACTACCTCTTCTTTTTTCTTGATGTTATACTGAAATAAAAAAAAAAAAAACAAAAAAGAAAAACATTAAGTTAATGAATAAATTATTAATTTAAATAATTAAACAAGTATTCGGAATTCCATTAATTACTTTCATTTGCCAGAGTCCTAGAAAGTTGGACCTGAAGTTGTAAACTTATAGAAAACATTTCTTAAACATCTCCCATGATGTTAAATAAATTCCATTAAAGTTTAATTGTTTCTTATTTATTAGTTTTATTGTGTCAGTAATCAACTTCCTGTTAATATATTTAAGGATTCCTTTAACAAACAACCGTGATGAAAATAATTTAATTAAGTTTTTTGTCTACTCCTACGTTTTGCAATTACACTTATTGTTTCAAACATACACAAGTCTAGCAATTTTTAATACAACATATTATATTTTATACACTAATTGGTTAATCAACACACAGCAGTTAAAAATACTAATAAACTTGGCTCCTTTATTTTTCTTTTCGTCTAAGGACAACTAAGAATATACTAGAAGAAGAAAGACATATTTAACTTTAACAACCCACGCAATTTTTCTTTGGTTTGAAGTGAGAGTAACTAGATTTTTTAATTGTATAAATTGACGCGTGATCATTACTACCAAATTATTTAGTGAGTCAAGGACCTTTATTGATATTCCAACAAATTTCTTAGTTTTTTAATGTTTTTTTTTTTCTGATTCTACCTCTGCTCCCTCTGAGAGTAGCAACAAGCATTAATAATTTCTGGGCTTTTTATGTACATTTTTGAGGTGTTTATGGCACGTAAATTGCCAATAAACTTTAATCATATCATTTATAACAAAATTAAGAACATTTCAACACTAAACAAACTTAAACACAGTTAAAGACGTATATATGTAAGCATAACCAATAATATACATTAGTATAAGGATTTGTGTATATCTGTGTTTAAATGTATGAAAGCTTTCCATGAATGTGTGAATGGAGATTTTCTCTTGCTTCATCTTTATCCACAAATTGAATGAATTGTAGGTTAGATATACAAATAATTAATGTGTTTTTGTGTATACATAAGAGAATGGATGTGTGTGTGTGATTGTTTTCGAAATGTTATTTTCTCTTACTTCAATTTACCTTCTCAATCTTCATGCTACGTTTATCGTTACGTTTTCATTTGTATTATGCTTTGGCTATTAATTAAAGTTTTATTGAGTTAATTAACAAAATACTCCACTTATTGCCATAATAATTGTGGCATGAGCTAAAGACAATGCCGAGTAATGGATGGCAATATTGTTTCTATATGGCAATCATTATAGTTAATTATCGAAGCGTATAATTTAAAATAATATAAAATGAGAGGATATGAATGCTAAAATGTGTATAAACAACAAAAAGTTTTGATGATTTTTTTTTAAAGTATTTAATTTAATTTTTATCTTAATTCAGGTATATTTTTACACTTTGTTGACAAAAAAGGGATTTTCTAAATGAGAGATTATATGGGGGCAGGATGTTAATATGATCCTAGCCTTATAAATTTGGTAGAGGATTTTACGCATACATCAGTTATTTATGGAGAATATCATCGTAATATTAGTGTTTATAAGTGAATTTTGACCATCGAGTAATTTTCTGAAGGGGATGGCCGATCATTTCGAAAATCTGCAGTATCATTAAGACTTATATAAAACAAGTTTTGCTGATTGTTGGAGTGATACAAGAACATTGAATATACATTGGCAATACGAAATAATGGACCGATTTTAACAATTTTCAATAGGCTTCGTCCTTGGGTCAAAAGAAGAGTATGTGTCAAATTTCATTTAATTGTCTTGAAAATTGCGACCTGTAGAGTGCATACAAAGTTTACATAGACACACAGACGGACAGACAGGCAGACGGACGGACGGACATAGCTAAATCTACTCAGAATTTGATTCTGATTTTTGGGTGTTACAAACATCAGCACAAACGCATAATACCCTCCCCACTATAGTGGTATAGGTTATAAAAAACTCTCAAAAATCTGCAGAATCCATTATTGACCAAACCAGTAGAGATGTCTTTCTAATACTTATATGAGAACCCATACCAGGCCTTCCAAATTTCACTGGTGAAGTGTGACTGACTGATCTGATCACCTCCACTTAGAATGTGACTTCTACTATGTTTTAATTAAATTTATTTTAATTATTTTAAGCCCTAAAACAATATAAAAAAATTCAATTAAAAACTAAAAAAAATATTTAATTAATTTATTCGTTTACTAACACCTTCACTTAAAAAAATAAAAACGTCAAAAGTATTACACACAAGTTATCCTTTAGTTAATTATCATTATTTTAATTATTTACACATTTATTACACTTAACAATATCACCATTTTAATTAATGTTTATATACATATTTTAAACAAAAGCACTTTCCATTTTGATAAATGTAAAAAAAAATACTCATACATACAATTTTTTTTGTAAACCACACTTTTATTATTATTATTATTATTTTAGGTTTTTTCCTTCTAAACCATACAAACATTAAACAAACATTGCAGTAACGAGAGAATCTATTTAGTGGTAGTTATAGTTTGATGCTGTTGTTTTTATATTCCTGCAAGTAATTCAATCTGACTCCGTTAGGGAGTCGCTCATATAAAAGGACTCCCTACTAGAGTCAATTTGAACTCCAAAGGCAAATTTTATGCAGTTCCATTGTAAATTTTATTCATTTTTACACTCTGTTTTTTATACACTAGCATTTTAATTCATTTGCTGTTGTACGTTGTTAAAAAACAATAATTGTAAAAAAATTTTAATGTACTCGTAATTACACTAATTAAAGAAACACTGCTATTTTTGCTGTATATATATATATATATATATATATGTTTTTGTTTTTTTTATATTACTAATTTGCCAAATGTGTGTAAAATAAATTGAAATAAGGAAATATATGTATTAAGGAAAAGAAAGCATAAATTTGTATAAATGAAATATAATTGAGAACAAAAAACTCATTAGAATTATTAATGAAAAGAAAAATAGTAAAAATAAATAAATTGTTTTGGGGGCTTTCCTTTTTTTTAAAATACCGGAACTATGCATAATATTCATTTAATTAAATTTCTTTTATAGCAAATTCCCTTTCCTATTTTATGCTACAATTATGCAACTAAAAATTAATTATGAAAAAAGGATATTTTTGAAAAAATTTAAATAAAGTTAGTATATTGCTTTAACAGCTAAGGACCATAAAGTTTTTCAAATGGATTTTTAAACTGTTGTTTAAAAACCTTTAAAATATAAAGTAAATTTCCTATAAAATATTTAATTTTCTAGACTTTTTTGATTTTACCAACCTTATCACGTATATCTTGTCGCATCTTTTTCACGCTCCTCTTCCATACGACGATGCTTCTCCTTGCGTCGTTCTTCGGCCTCACGGATGGCCTCCTGACGCTCTCTCTCCTCCTCCTCTGCCTTTTCCTTATCATCGGCATCATCACCGCCATCACCACCTACGGCGCCTGTTTAAAATACAAAAAAGAAATGTTATTAGTAAAAGGTTTAAGAAATATTTTGAATTATAAATCCAATTTATAAACTAAAGCCAAAAAGTATACACCAGTTAAGATTACTGCGTTTAAATGCCTTAAGTTATACAAATTTAAGTACACTTTACAACTGGATTAGCATTGTCTGGAATGTAAAGTCTATAAATTCAAGAGTAAAGTTTTAAATATAAAAATGTATATAAGTTTCCAATTATATCAATGAAATTTTATTTAACAAACGCCTAAAGTTAGACAATATTGTTGTTAAATCTCGTAATATATATGTGGATGCATTCATGCTGTACTTAGTCTGTGTTAACAGTTTTAAAGAGTTGTAAAATCTATTCATTAATATTTATATTTTTTGCGCCTAAAAGCAGATTTATAGTTTGTATTATTAAATTTATTTAAAACACACATATTTAATCATAAATTTTGTTATTTGTGGTTGGTTTTTTTTGTTAAACTATTATTACAATTATTATGTGGTTAAATGTGATTAGAGTACCAAATGCTATTGTGGTTTCAATTAATTTAAATATAATGCCGAAAAATATTTTGTAAAATTTATTCATTTATCCACATCACATGACTTATATGTAGCTTAAATATGTTTGTAAGTTTAAGTAGATAAATATTTAGTTTTATTTAGAAAATCTAGGCTTTTATATTAATTGGAATATTTATAAAATTTTAAATTTGCAACAGTTTTAAATTAGCCATAAAGTATGTTACAGTTTTGTGGGAGAGTTAATGATTATATTACAAACACTGATTTAGAATATAAAATTGTATTTATTTCAAAAAATAAATTAAACAAACTATTTTTCGGCATTATATTTAAATTAATTGAAACCACAATAGCATTTGGTACTCTAATCACATTTAACCACATAATAATTGTAATAATAGTTTAACAAAAAAAAACCAACCACAAATAACAAAATTTATGATTAAATATGTGTGTTTTAAATAAATTTAATAATACAAACTATAAATCTGCTTTTAGGCGCAAAAAATATAAATATTTAATGAATAGATTTTACAACTCTTTAAAACTGTTAACACAGACTAAGTACAGCATGAATGCATCCACATATATATTACGAGATTTAACAACAATATTGTCTAACTTTAGGCGTTTGTTAAATAAAATTTCATTGATATAATTGGAAACTTTAATATACATTTTTATATTTAAAACTTTACTCTTGAATTTTATAGACTTTACATTCCAGACAATGCTAATCCAGTTGTAAAGTGTACTTAAATTTGTATAACTTAAGGCATTTAAACGCAGTAATCTTAACTGGTGTATACTTTTTGGCTTTAGTTTATAAATTGATTTATAATTCAAAATATTTCTTAAACCTTTTACTAATAACATTTTTTTTTGTATTTTAACAGGCGCCGTAGGTGGTGATGGCGGTGATGATGCCGATGATAAGGAAAAGGCAGAGGAGGAGGAGAGAGAGCGTCAGGAGGCCATCCGTGAGGCCGAAGAACGACGCAAGGAGAAGCATCGTCGTATGGAAGAGGAGCGTGAAAAGATGCGACAAGATATACGTGATAAGGTTGGTAAAATCAAAAAAGTCTAAGAAAATTAAATATTTTATAGGAAATTTTACTTTATATTTTAAAGGTTTTTAAACAACAGTTTAAAATCCATTTGAAAAACTTTATGGTCCTTAGCTGTTAAAGCAATATACTAACTTTATTTAAATTTTTTCAAAAATATCCTTTTTTCATAATTAATTTTTAGTTGCATAATTGTAGCATAAAATAGGAAAGGGAATTTGCTATAAAAGAAATTTAATTAAATGAATATTATTGCATAGTTCCGGTATTTTAAAAAAAGGAAAGCCCCAAAAACAATTTATTTATTTTTACTATTTTTCTTTTCATTAATAATTCTAATGGAGTTTTTTGTTCTCATTATATTTCATTTATACAAATTTATGCTTTCTTTTCCTTAATACATATATTTCCTTATTTCAATTTATTTTACACACATTGTGCAAATTAGTATATAAAAAAAACAAAAACATATATATTATATATATATATACAGCAAAAATAGCAGTGTTTCTTTAATTAGTGTAATTACGAGTACATTAAAATTTTTTTACAATTATTGTTTTTTAACAACGTACAACAGCAAATGAATTAAAATGCTAGTGTATAAAAAACAGAGTGTAAAAAATGAATAAAATTTACAATGGAACTGCATAAAATTTGCCTTTGGAGTTCAAATTGACTCTAGTAGGGAGTCCTTTTATATGAGCGACTCCCTAACGGAGTCAGATTGAATTACTTGCAGGAATATAAAAACAACAGCATCAACTATAAACTACCACTAAAATAGATTCTCTCGTTACTGCAATGTTTGTTTAAGTGTTTGTATGGTTTAGAAGGAAAAAACCTAAAATAATAATAATAATAATAAAAGTGTGGTTTACAAAAAAATTGTATGTATGAGTATTTTTTTTACATTTATCAAAATGGAAGTGCTTTGTTTAAAATATGTATATAAACATTTAATTAAAATGTGATATTGTTAAGTGTAATAAATGTGTAAATAATTAAAATAATGATAATTAACTAAAGGATAAATTG